GAGGGCACTGGGGCAGTCAGAGAACCCCTGGAGACAAGGCCTCTAGGCCCCCCGGCCTCACCTGGTACACTGTCGGCTGGATCCAGCCATGGTTCTTGCAGAGAGTACAGATCTCGGCCACCTCCCAAGCAGCATAGTTGGAGAGGCCAAGCTCCACAAACTTGCCCTGCAGGGGACAGGTCTCGGTCAGAGCCCAGCTCCATCTAGGATTGCCCTAGTGCCTCCATTTTTCTGGGTGGTAAGAGGCCGAGGGGAGGAGCAGCAGACAGCTCCCAGAGCTCAGGTGGCAGCCCTCACCTCCAGGTGCAGCTGGTGGCAGGCGTGCAGTGTCTCTTCCACGGGGGTGCTGTGGTCAGGTGCGTGTAGATAGAAGAGGTCCACCTGGGCACACTGCAATCGTTTGAGCGACGTCTCCAGCTGGGACCGGACACTGTCAGCCTTCAGGGACTTCCCAGCTAATGGATGGGCCTTGGTGGCAATTTTCACTTTGCAGGGAGAAAAATGGAGTTTAGTTCAGGCCAGTTTACCAGTCACTGGAGAGTTTCCTCCTAAACCCAACTTAGTCTGGAAGCTCCACTGAAATCTTATCAGCATCAGAGCAACATGGACAGAGGTGCATTACTCAGGAATCGAACTCCGGTCTCCTGCATCCGAAGTGAGAATTCTACCATTGAAATACCAATGCCCCCAATAACAACAGCTGACATTTCTGAGACCTCGCTATGTGCCTGCAGGACTCCATCCCAAGCAATTCCAATATCATTAAACTAATGAGGGACAGTCACCTGTCCCCATTACAGATCTTCCACTTAAGCTGCCTATAGGTCATTCCTCCGACACAGTGGACATTTCCAGGAGCCCTGGTGGTGTTTTGGGCAAAGAATTGGGCTGCTAACAATGAAGATGGCAGTTCAAATCCACTAGTCAGTCCATAATAAAAAGATGAGGCTGACCACTTTTATAAAGATTTACAATCTCAGAAACCTTATATGAGCTAGAATGGACAGTGGGTTTTTTGTTTTTTGCACACCCCTGCCCTCTGTCAGGAATGCCCTCACTTCTTACACTTTCTGGCACACTCTTATCTGTTCTTTAAGCTAGAACTCCTACATATTTCTTCAATGGCTCTTACCCAGGAAGTGCTTCTTCTTCCAGGCTCCCCAATCACCTCTAGAATCTGAGCTTCCCTGGAATGGGTTTGTGGTGATATTCCTAGAGTCCCCTACAAGTGCAACTAACAACAATCTCAGACAGCCTGGTACCAAAAGGACAGTTACAGTTGAGCAGCCGGGCCTCCTCACTGTCTCCCCCTGCACACTATACCTTCCCTACAGTGATACTGCAGCTGGTGACTTGGGAGGTACTGTCTGCAGAACTGGGCACGAGCAGCTACGCAGAGCAAGGCTGGAACGAGCAGATGATCCGCCCATTCCAAAGTCTGACCTGTGGCTAGTGTAATGGGGCAGTGGGGGGTGGGGCAGGATTTCTGCAGGTCAGGGGCCCCTGCGGGATGCAGCGGGACGGGGGCAGCATGGTTCCAGTGCCTCAGAGATGGACTGGCCAAGTCGTTTCAGTCTAAACCAGAGTTGGGCATCGCTACGCAGAGAGTCCAGGGCTACTTTCCCCGTAGGTAATGGAGAGGCTGCGCACGGGTTTGAGGTTTGCACAGTTGCAAGATGAGGAAAAGGTCGGTGGCCCCGACCACAGCCTGCTGGATTGGGGCGGTCCGTGCACGGCCGCTCACGAGTCAGCGTCTGGACGCCGGGGGCAGCATGGTTCCAGCGTCTGGACGCCGGGCTCAGTTCCTGCATTGTGGAAGGGGAGGTTAGGGGTCCGGGTCTGGACACCAGGCGTTACCTCTGCAGTTGCCACCGCCCAGTCCGAGACCCAGTCCTCCCAGAATGCTCTCGGACTGGCCGTCGGCGTACACGAAGGCCGTGTCCAGCTCCTTGTGGCCGCGCTCCAGGAAGGCGCGCACGGCCTCAGCGCTGGCTGCTGCGTCCATGCGGCGCCCCATCTCCATGGCGCCCAGCACGGTGGAAGGCCGGGTCGGGGCGCCGGAGGCGGCCAGCGTCTGTGACAGCATCCGAGACATGACAGCGGCGGTGGCGGCTCTCAGGAGACCCAAGAGTCCTGGTGTCGTACAGAGACGTCTGGGCACGAACCACCTCGCAGCGACTGCGCTTTAGTATCCCGCCTTAGGGAGGAGCGATCCGGGCACGTGAAAGTGGGCGAGGTGCGTTGGTGACTGCGGAGTTGGGCAAGGTGCACAATTCCTGCGAGTCCCAGAGACCTCTGCACATCCACTGCGTCTGGGCGGGGCGACAGGCGACCTGGGTCTTGGCTACAATCCCGGATAACAACATTTAGGTCCTTGAGTTGGGAGCCAACCAAAGGCAGGAGCCTGAACTCCTGGGGACTCCTTGTCACGTTTCCTGCTGCACTCTTGGTCCCTGACTGTCCGGGACCCTCCTGAGGGGAACTTTTCTGTGTGCTTACCCATTATTGGTTGCCTTTGCGTCTCTCATACTTAGGACATGTTGTCAGGAGGGATGTGAGAAGGATATCATGTTTCGTAAAGTGGAGGGTCAGAGAAAAGGAGGAAGACCCCAACAAGATGAATTGGCACAGCGGGGGAAGTGATAGATTTAGGCTTAGAAACGATTGTGAGGTTGGCCCAGGACCAGAAAGTGTTTTCTTCTGTTGTGCATAGATTGGTCACTATGAGTCGGTACTGACTCATTGGCACCTATCTCTGGTAGCATAGTGATTATGAAATCCGGCTGAGAACCGCAAGGTTAGCAGTTCGAAACTACCAGCTGTTCCGTGGGAGAAAGATGAGGCTTTCTGCTCCTGTAAAGATT